ACGTACGTACGTACGTACGTACGTAACGTAAGTAACGTAACGTAACGTAACGTAACGTAACGTAACGTAACGTAACGAACGTAAGTACGAGTACGAGAGAGAGAGAGAGAGAGAGAGAGAGAGAGAGAGAGAGAGAGGGATATAGTAGTGAGACATAATAGTTTTGAGTAATATATCAACAAAATTTAAAATATGTATTCAACTACAAAATTATTCAAGAATAATGAAAAATTATGCATTATCAATAGAAAGTGCACTGACTGAAAAAAAAATCAATAGAATGTTAATTTTAACACGTCGGATATGAATATAGGGTAATTAATGCAAAACATAGTTCCCACTTAAAGATGGTTCTGGATGCCAAGGATGTATGGAGTCACAAAATGTTGATCATAAGGAGATTTTATCAGCAAGTGTAAAAAAGAACAAACTTAGAATTCCTTTGTCAAGTGACTTGCTCGAGAAATGGCCAACATATGTACATATGATAGAAATGCTTTCGGACAATGTTTATGAAAGGGTGACATATCATTTCCACTAGGCTTTATGTGATAGAGACCGGAGAACATTGGTTTGCAAACCAAAAGCCGATAGGATCAAGAAGTCTTATGAAGTCATCATCATCATCAAAGCTTTTTCGCAACTAAGTGGGATCAGCTACACAAATCTTAGTTTGTCATTCTGCTCTATCAAGGGCCATACTCTCAGTGAGGCCATAAACCCCCATATTTTTTCGCACTACTTCCAACCATATCATTTTGGGCCTACTCCTTGTCCTTTTTGAGCTTTCCGATTGAACTAACTTGCACCTCCAAACAGGTGTTGTATTGGGTCTGCACAGTACATGGCCAACCCACCTAAGTCTACTTTCTCTCATCTTATCACCTATTGGACCCACACTTAAATTCTCCCGAAAATGTATTCATTTTGAACTTTATCCCTTCTTATCTTGCCATTCATCCATCTCAACATCGTCATCTCAACTACACTCATTCTATAGGCAATGTTTTTTTTTGACTGCCCAACATTTTGTCCCATAAAGCAAAGTTGGTCTCACGGTTGTCCTATAAAACTTGCGATCCAGCTTCATTGATAATGCGACGATCACATAAAACTCTAGTTGCACATCTCTACTTTGCCCACCCAACTCTAATTCTATTTGAGACATCTTCCTCAATCGCTTCATTTTCATGGATTATCGACCCAAGATATCAAAAGTGCGTTCTTTTTGGTATTTATGGGCCATCGATCTTAACTACTTCCTTGTCTCTACTCCTATTATTACTAAATTAGCAGTCCATACACTCTGTCTTTTGATCAAGAAGTCTTCTGAATTATAGTTTAAAAACATTTTCTCGAAACAAGTGCCCCCAGGCTATAGCCTCTTATTATCATTGCATGTTTTTCAAGAAAGGGAATCTTTGTGAGAGAAATTTCATTATATCAGAGCGGTATCCACAGCTTGCAAATGTTTAAATTTTGCACTACAATTTATACAATATGATTTAGAGTAAACATCTTTCAGAAAAGAAAAAAAGATCTTTAGTGAAATCATAGCAGCATTGTATTCTCTGTGAAAAATATGGGTTATTTCATGTTTGACACAAGGTTTTTCTATCTATAGTTTATGGTGAGCGTTTTTATGGGCCTCAAGTATACCTTTGACAATAAGGACCTCAGAAATCTAAATTATGTTCCTTGGATTGAGGTTGCATAACCAAGTAAGGATACTTCCATTCACAAAGGAATTCAATAATTTATTGTGACCATTTAGTGAAACCAGAAAATTGGAAGTGAAGCCCTAGAAAACTCCAATTGAGTAAAAACCGATCCACAATTTAGAAACAGGCGAACATAAGAAGGATCCATCTGCTTTCTGAGAAATGCGGGTGGCCTCATTTATAGCAGCATCACACTCCATCTAAGCATGGAGAATCAATTTATGGAAGTTCCATGGACCAAATATCTCGAATTCTCGATGCAACTCATCGGATACTAAGGTATTTAAGGTCAAAGGATCCATCATACTCCCATGATTGCCAGTTTGTTTCTGATGCCAACTAGCAAAGATCATCAGATTCTAATTCTAGTGTGGTTATTGATAATTGTGAGAGTAAACACGATGACCAGAATGAGCAAGAAACAATTAGTTGTTCCAAGACCAAGAGTAGCAGAAATACTGATAAAAAGAAAAAATTGCAGAGGAAAAATTACACAGCTACGCCCTCTACATCTTAAGAGAAGACTTAGTTCATTCCCTACCAACACATATGTGTCTAGAAGTTCTGCTTCTTTTAAATGCAATATGACAATTCCGCAACAACATATTGCTTCTATCTTCAATGAGCAAAGGGAACACATAATACGGCTAAAAAAACTCCATAGGTTAAAAGCGAGCCAGCTAATATGTGTTTATTAAGGCTTTGAGCAAGGATCAGCTATCACTTCACATGAGCAACTTTGTTCTTCTTTTTTTTTTTTAATCGGAAAGAAACTACACTTGAGAAAGCTGGACTTATGGAAATGTATGCACCAGCTTTCAAGGAATCTTCGTGTAACATGTCCTATTATGTATAGCAATTCATGGTAACTTTGTCATATACATATTTTTACTGTATCCTGATGTTTTTTTAGAAACATTTACTGGTATTGAGTATAAGAAATGAGTACATACAAAAGTGATCCCTTAGTAGGGTCATATGTCACCAAGAAGGTGAGTTAGATACAAAAATTCTATACATTCTCTTCATGATATAGATCGAGACTATAACTGTATACAAAAAATCAGTGGGACCCATTCTCATAAGGCAATGCTGCTACCTCTATCGCTAAAGTGTCAGGCAGGGAGTTGGCTTCTCGTCAAATGTGGATCTGGCTGGTGATGTCAAAAATCTCATCGAATATGTGGGCCAGCCTCCAGGGATGAACAGCATAGGCTGAAGCCCATGAAATGATAGATTTAGAATCACCTTCAATGGCAATTTGGTTGCCCTACTCAGGTCTATATGCTCTTAGGCATTCGAGTAAAGTATTGGCCTCTGCTGTGGTGCTATTGGCAATTCCAATGGGTTTGGAGATAGAGAGGATGGTGGAGCCGGAATGGTCCCTAAAAAGTCCTCCAACCCTAGCGTCCTGGGCTTCCCAGGGAGCAGCCATCAAAGGTTAATTTGATCCAGCCCTGTTCTGGAGATCTCCACAGGGAGGTGCAACCAACCCTCGGGGTGGTAGAATGGCATAACACTCGCCAGTTTGACCAGAAATCCATTGAGGAATAGGCCTTGAAATGTTTGTGGTTATTGATCCAAAAGATGACCATGGTAACAATGCTTTCCTTAAGACACTCTGGTGAAGTCCTTTCGCCTCTGAATATTCTGTGGTTTTGTTCAATCCAGATGGACCCTAGGGTGGCTGAAACCATAGCCTTCCATAGCATTGTCCCTAGTTTAGGCCATGGAAGGATTTGGGAGAGGTTAAAGAGACCGGGGACAGACTGTGGGGGACCCAAACCCAGCCAAAGAGTTGAAGAATCTGCCCCCAAAGGTATTGGGCAACGGAGCAGTGGAGGAATAGATGTGCATTTGTCTCCTCAGCGCATAGGCACATGGGGCATCGATTGGGCAGGGGTACACTGTGCCTTTGTAGTTGATCCACAATGACCACCCTTTGATAGATGGTCAGCCAATTAAACACTTGCATCTTTGCTGGAATAAAAGTTAACCATGCTTTGGCCGAAAAGGGAAAGGCCTGTGGGGGTTATGAGGTGATACTGAGACCAGGTAGCACGATTGCACGAGGACACTGTGATTCTACTTGATGGGTTGGATCTCCAGATATGTCAGTCTTCACCTGCGAGAGGGAGATAGATGGGTTGTATAAGGGCTTGGAGTTGGAGGAATGACTCCAATTCTTGGTCGCGCAAGGTGCGTCGGAAGACGGGTGTCCAAGAGCAACTATGGCTGGATTGGGGAAAGTAGTTGAGGACAGAAGCTTCTCTATTTGTAGCAAGAAGGAAAAGGTCAGGGAAAGGGTCCTCAGGGGAGTGTGTCCCACCCAGATATTAGTCCAAATAAAGTTCTACTGTCACTTCTAGGGAGGAATCTTGCATGAGTTTGAAGAGGTCATAGCAGCGGATGATGGAGCGCCAAAATCCAGATGAGAGGCTATTAGCATGACAAGGGGGCATCCATCTAGAGCAGTCGAAGCGATATTTACAGGACAGAACCTCCTGCCAGAGGTGACTCTTTTGAGTAAATAGGCAGCGCCACCATCATTTGGATAATCGTGCAGTATTGGAGTCTCTTATACTTCAGATGCCCAAACCACTTGTGCTTTTCAGCCTGCACACCTTCTCCTAAGCAACTAGATGATATTTGTTGGCTGTGCCAACCCCCGACCAAAGGAAATTTCTCATTAGTTGTTGTAGCTGGACCGCAATCAAGACGGGATGTGAAATAGGGACATTTGATAAATGGGAACGTTCAATAAGGTTGCCGTAATGAATGTTACTCTCCTAGAGGAAGGGAGACAATGACCCTTCCAAACCAACAAATATGCGGTCGCACTTGTCATGATGATATGTCCCCATAGGTTTTTTTTTGGGTTTTCCTAAGCACAGAGTTAGGCCGAGATAGGAGATAGGCAAAGGCTCTTCCCCGCAGCCCCAAGATTGTGCAAACTGGGCAGTGTGGTGGTTATCCATAGCCACGCCCCATCCTCTTGGTTTTGTTCAAGTTCACTTTGAATCCCATGGCTAGCTAGAAGGCCTTGAGAAATAGGAGAAGGGATTGGACTTGTTGCAT